CGGCCCGGCTGCCTCACGTCGAGTAAGCGCGGGGCGGGGCTGGCCTGGGGGCGGCGGCTCCGGGGCGGGAGGCGCGTTTCCCGGGGGCTCCGGCTTGAGGGCATCGGTGGGGCTGGGCGGGCTGCGGCCCTCTAGTTGTAGATTCCGGCCTGCCAGGGGCTTTCCCCGCTCGCTGTCCGGCCTTGCGCGCGGGAGGGTCCTCGCAGTTTCCCCGGGGGGAGCGGGCCAGGCCAGTTAGGCTGCAAGCGGCCGCAGGTTTAATCCCGGGTTTGTCCCAAGTTTTGACCTGCGTGAAACCAGGCCGGGGCAAGGTGGCAATTCCTTGAGGTTGGCCTCGATTGTCCTGGGGCAGAGCATTGGGCTGCGTCGTAGGTACTTAAAGGCTAAAAGCAAGCGATGGTTTACGCTGGGAGAGAGAATTTTTATCTTGGGATCTTATAGACAGATGTGCTCCTTGTCCCACTTTGCCACGGCAGCTTTGCACTGAGTTCAGGTTGTGGATGTGCATGGGATGGTCTGCATAGTGAGGCAAGGGCTTGGGCTGCATGGCATCTGGTGGTCTGCCCCTCCCAGCCCGTCTTCCCTGTCGTTATCGGGTTCTTTATGACTCTGTGGGGTGTGTGCAAAATATCTGAATTGATGCTTTGCCCTGGAACAGTCCAGACCGATTCCAAGGAAATCACCATTCAAGCTGCTTTGCCCCACACTTGTCCTGACTGCTGTTTTGATGTGAGTCTAAGCCCTCCTCCCAGTCAGCCCTGGATTAAAGCTTCTAGCCAAAGTGGCACAATGAGCATGTGTGTCTAGGATCTCAGGATAAAATTCTTTGTCCAAGGGTAAGCCAGTTTTTAGCCTCCACTTGATCTACTCCCAGAGTGGACCAAAGATGCTCTTAATGCAGCATAAGACTGTTGGTGTGGGAGTTATTCTGTTCTATGCTATTTCCCCATCTAAGTCTATCCTTCAGGCTAATCTTGCTTTATTTGATGCTGCAAACTGTCCTGTGATCCCAGCCCATGCTCTTCTCCTACAAGAGGAAATTGCAGTAGTGAGTGTGGGTCTTTTGCGGCTTTCAGTGAATCTCCATGGTACATTCTTCACTGAGATGCTAGACCCAATCTGCACATCCAATATGCTTGGTTATGTGGAAGTTGACCAAGCTAATGGGTTGAGTACCCAAGTGAGAATGTACTGTTTTTGAAGAGAGCACTGGTTTGTACAGCTGTGTCCATGTGCTTTTGGTGACTAGGAGGTTTACTTAGTTTATCATGTCTCAGGCAAGAAATCAGTCTTGTTGCTTATTAAGGAAATGGCTCTTGTCAGATAACTGGACATAAGCATTTAACTTTTTTAAAAATCTTGTTGCCTTTTAGGTTGGAAAGGAAACCCTAAATCCTTTTTTTATGAACCTGATCGTCAGTCAAGTATAACTTTTTTGATGCATGATATCTAAACCCCCCCACTATGCCAGCAGCTACAGTAGATCATAGCCAAAGAATCTGTGAAGTTTGGGCTTGTAACCTGGATGAAGAAATGAAAAAAATTCGTCAAGTTATACGGAAGTATAACTATGTTGCCATGGTATGTCTATGACTGATTTAGCATAGCATTGAATCATATTTTGTCTTTGTGAGAATATTGCAAATACTGAAATGACAGCATTTTTGAGGTTGGATCTTTCCCATTAAAGGTAATGAACTTTGACTGAAAAAATGCTGAATTATTAGTGCAGGTAATCCTTTGTGGTGATATTAATGTTTACTAGTGTGTACTAAAGATGGTACCATCATTGTAGTGTGAGTGCTGATAACACTGTGCTTGAAAAAAAATGTTTAGATGCTTGTTGAATGAGTGACATGTAAATACATTCCTTTCCTCCCCTCCCTTCATTGAAGTTACTACTTTTATTTTTTGATAGGACACAGAATTTCCAGGAGTAGTTGCAAGGCCTATTGGAGAATTCCGAAGCAATGCTGACTATCAGTACCAGCTACTACGCTGTAATGTAGACTTGCTAAAAATAATTCAGCTAGGGCTGACATTTATGAATGAGCAAGGCGAATACCCTCCAGGAACTTCTACGTGGCAGTTTAATTTTAAATTTAATTTAACGTAAGTGGCAAATCTCATTGTGTTTGTTTTTATGAGCAGTGCACCGATTAAAGATATTTTTAGGGCTGATACCAGCGGCCAGTTATTAGCATGCAATATCGGCTGATACCGATCTGATTGCCGATGTGCAGCCTGGCAGCTTGGAGAGCAGCATCCAGCTTGTAAGTGTTGGGGTGGGGAAGAGGCATGGGAGGGAGCAGATTGAGGGCAGTGCAGTGAGGGAGTGGGGCTGTGGCAGAGGCAGGTGCTGCCTAGGCAGGGGGCTTGGGACAGAGCCACAAGCGGCTTGTCTGGGGGTGCAGATGCTGCTGCTACACACAGCCCCAGGGGAGTCATGGGAGGGGGTGTCATGTATGCCCTGATCTGTATGCGGGGTGAGGATGGGCTGCTGTTGCAGGTGGGGGCTGGGAGTGGTGCTTGGCTCTTCCTGGTGGGGGGGTTGGCAGCAGTGTTGGGGTGGTGGGGGGCGCTACAGGAGAGCTACAGCTATTGCCCTCTTCCCCTCACCCTCGGGATGAGGCTGGCACTGCCCTCTGATCCACGCTGCCACGGCAGCCCACCCTTATCCCATGCACAGATCCAGGGAGCATACACCCCCCCATGGCTCCCCTGAAGGTGTTCACAGCTTTGAAAGGCAAGCTAGTAATAATTGGAACAAAGCTGTATTGGCTTTTTTGAGACCAGATATGGCTAGTTATCCAAATAGGAAATCTGATCAACTTCACTACATCAAATTGAATTAAGGTCTCAAAAACATTTTTCCTCTGTCTTTGGTTGCTGTGGGGTCTTTTGGTTTGTAGTGTAGCACTTGGTCTAACTCTATACTTTTTCTAGCTCAATAATGGTGTGGTCTAGCAATGATTATTGCTTGTGGGATACTGGCAATAGTATTATCTCTTCTTACCATGTTCTGCATACCTATGTTAACTAACAAATATGACATTTTTTGGATCTATTGAATTGCATCAATCACAATAATGAAGAGAGACTAATTTACAAAACAAATTTTTCCTAGATGGTTTAAAAACTTAAAATGCAAAGGTGCCAGATGGAGATAATGATCTGGTTTTGGTCAGCATCATAGGTGTTGCTTTCTGTCCATCAGCAACTTATCTACAAAAACTTGACCAAGATTATCTCTTTTCATAGAATCATGGGACCTCAAGATCATCTAAGCAAGCCCCCTGCCTTAGACATCTCAGTGATGGAGACTTTTAAGGAATGTTTTGAAGGAGGACAGTGAAGTAGCTTTACAGCTGTTTATTAGGAAAGGGAGCATGGGTAAAAGCCTAGAAGAATTTATCAAGTAGGGGGTGGAGGCAGGCCCATTGGCAGTTTAGAGGTGAAAGCCTGTATTTCAACATGAAATGAAGGATGATGAATAAGATGGGGAAGGACCAAGGAAATGAAGACACATATTTGATATTTTGCATGATGGAGATGGAAGACTTGGGTGTCTGGTGGGATTCAAAGAGAAGGATGATATTCTTTGTGATTTTACTTAAACATAACACCCAGGGTATTTCTGTGTGAATTCAAATGTTTGTGACTTCATATTTTTTTCCCTTTTAGGGAAGACATGTATGCCCAGGACTCTATAGAACTATTAACAACATCTGGTATCCAGTTTAAAAAGCATGAGGAAGAAGGAATTGAGACTCAATATTTTGCAGAACTTCTTATGACATCGGGAGTCGTGCTCTGTGAGGGAGTCAAGTGGCTTTCATTTCATAGGTAAATACTGAATACAAAATAATATTTGAATTGGCTGTTTATCAGTGCCTTCAAATGTCAGAAGTAAAAACAACTAGCTTTGGGATTTCAACAGTACAGCTAATGCTGGATTACTTCCAAGTATAGTAAATTGACTTGCAAAGGTTTGTTTGAATGTTGCTATTCAAGTTTAAGCTTCCAAATCTGTTACTATGCATTTAGAAGCCAATGACTTGTCTTGTTACTTTTCTTGAAGTAGTAGTCCTTTGGCCTTTGTCCTTATGTGAGCTCCTCAAGCTGCTGGTGAGATCCGTATAATTACTTGGATATAGGCTGATAAGGTTGTTAACACATTGCTTAATGACACACATCATTAAGTATAACTAAGGGCTTTGAGTTGTGTTATAAAAATGTTGACGAGGATTGTTTTATTTATGAATGCATACAGTGGATTGTCTTGCAGAAAAAAAGTTCTTGAGTTTGGGTATGGGCAGCTTATTACAGGGACAGTACTCATCTTGGGAAGTACAGTTAATAATTATGAAGGACCTTGAGATCCTTTGAAAGGGTGTAGGTGAAGAAAATTGGCAGGATATTTTACCGATGACACTTATTAAGAAATGACCTTAACTGGATTTGAAAAATCATTGTCTTTTAGCAAGACAGAAGTGATTTACCATGTTTACCTGAATCCACAATGACTTTACATTTTAAGATGATCCTCCAATGACTAGATTCTACACCTGAAAAACTTATAAATTTGTGTTTTTCCCCCACCCCCCCTCCTGGATTCAGTGAGATACAGTATATGGTTGGAGGGGAGGCAACAAAGAATTCTCTTCTCCATGCAGTAGACAGAGGATGTTGTGGAAGGTCTTCAACATCAAACAGCTTAATAGTCTTAAGTGTCCATAGTGAGAACTGATTTGTTTGTGGTTGAATATTGGCACAATCCTGAATGTGGCATGAGTTGGGAAGTGCTTGAGTGTCACTATTTTGTTGGAGAGCCAGTGTTGCTCAGTGGGCATACCTGACATATAAGGCAGCACTGAAATAGATGGTGTGACACACATCTGGCATGATGTACTAAATTTGTCTGGATAACTTATGAAGCCTTGGCTCCATGTACTGGCCAAAACAGGTTGGTATCTACTTATAAAAAGAAAAACAAAAAAACAGTCCCAAGTAAAATAGTTCAGATTTGCACTGGCTGCTTGGTCTGATACCAATTTCAGAAATATCTAGTGCAGTGACAGAATGTCTGTTTAGATATCCATGTAATTTTAATCCGTAAGGGTATAGAAGTGCTATTGCCCAGTGTTGGGTGCTCCAGTTTAGGAAATCTGTCTTTTGGAAGTTTGATATTAGACTTTGGATATGTTTAGAGTATAGGTTTCCCTTGCTTTATGTGGTACATGTGTCTCTGAAAAACTTCATAAATCAAACTTGCATAAAGGGAACCCAGTTTATAAGGTAACGATAGAGATACGTTCCCACAGCGGTGAGGTAGTGAGGGAATGAGCCTGGGACTAGGAAAGGGGCAGGGGGAGGGGCACAGTGCAGCCAAGTGGCTGCAGCAGGTGGCGTTAACTGCTTCCAGGGCTGCAGCGGGGAGCAAAGTGGGGGGAACCATCATGGGGGGAGGTGCAGCTTTTGCTGCTACACACCCAGGGAGGGCTGTGAGCTGGGGGGCTGTGCCAGGCTCTTCCTGGGGGGTGTGTGCCCCTGGATCTGAGCGGGATGAGCAGGCTGCCACCTGCCCTGAGCACCGGAAAGAGCTCAGTGCCACCCCCAGCCTCAGCCTGCAGCGGCAGCCTTCTTGTCCTGCCCGCATGTGCCCCCCCAGGAAGAGCCCAGCACAGCACCCCAGCCTGCAGCTCCCCTGGGGTGTTCATAGCAGCAAAAGCTGTGCTCCCCTCCCCACACCCACTGACAGTTTTCTCCGCAACTGGCGTCAGCTGTTCCCAGGGCTGCTGCAGCAGGGACTTGGGTGAGTGGGAACAAGAGGAGCCCCGGGAGACACGGGATGTGGCACGGCTTGTCTGCACTCCACCCCAGCCCCTGCTGCAGCAGCCCCAGGAATGGCTGATGCCAGCTGACTGCAGCCGCTGGGCTGCACCGTGTCCTGAACCCCCTGGGGTTCTGCTTGTTCCCACTTGCCCCAGGCCCTGGGCTGCGCTGTGCCATGGTGCAGGCAGGTGGTGTTGGCTGCTCCCAGGGCCACTGCACCAGGGACTGGGGTGAGTGCAAGCAGAGCCCTGGGGGGGTTCAGGGTATGGTGCAGCCCAGCAACTGTAGGAAGCTGGCATTGGCTGTTCCTGGGGCCACTGCAGCAGAGGCTGGAGTGAGGAGGGACAAAGCTGTGCTCTGCCCCCTGGTCTTCTGCTTATCCCCACTCACCCCAGCCTGTGCTGCAGCAGCCTTGGGAACAGCTGATGCCAGCTGCCTGCACCATGGCACGGCACAGCCCAGGGACTGGGGTGAGTGGAGACAAGCAGAGCTTGGGGCGGGGGAGGTGGGGGGTTGGGGCATGGCGCAGCCCAACGGCTGCAGGCAGCTGGTATCTGCTTCTCCCAGAGCAGCTGCAGGAGGGGCTGGGATGAGTGGGGCCCCAGTCCCACAGCCCTTTCCCTTCCTCCCACAGACTTACCTGCTTGGGGGAGGGGGAGCGCGTCTATGCTGATTTTTGCATAAGAGTAAATTTACCTTGCATATAACAAATTTGGGGTATAAAAGATGTCATTGCATAACAGCAAATTCGTATATACAGAACTCGCATAAAGCGAGGGAAACTTGTAGTCTGAAACTACATGACAAGTCAAAGTAAATGGATATTTTTAAGATTCAGCTGAGCACTTAATAGACTATTGCTTGTTATGAGCATATTAACTGATCAAACATTTGCCATTCTAATACATACAGAATTGTATTATAGATTCACAGAAATATTGCTTTCCCTTTTTAGACGCTCAAAGTGCAATGCACAACTTAGTCTTCAGACTTATGAACCAGCAGATGGCACTGCCTCTATGTACCACATATGTGCAAGTAGTGAAAAAAAGTAACTGTAAACTGCTTTCCCATTTTGGGCCTCCCTTTTTATAAACTAAATATAGGAGTGCTTAGTGAAATCTTTATAGAAACCAGTCTTATTTTGTATGATTAAATTAATTTCACATTCACATATTTATCTTGGTCTTTTAATAAGTTGCAGTGCACTTCTGTTTCCTTCAGCTTTTTACCAATATTTCCTTTTTTGCCTGAGATTTGTGATCTCCTTGCCCTGTGCTCCAGTCCACAAGGAATATTTACTCCAGTTATCAGTAGGTAAATGCACTCTGCAAATAATTCCATTCAAAATAAAAAGCTTAATGCAGCCTTTTAGCTGTTGTACAAACTGATTGCTAATGTTTCTTATCCCATTTATATGAATCCATTTTCCTGTACAAAAACAACAGAGCCTCTAACACAAACATAAAACATGGTTTTGTTGTTAGTGGGAGTTAAATGTTGCCTTTATGTAATGGAGTTGTTGTGTAGTCAGTTAGAAACTGAAGATAATTTTACACTTTTGCAGCCAACAGTGGATTTTAAGATCTATTGCTAAGTAATGCCCACTTTAATTATTGGGTACTAGGCAGTGAAACAAAAGCTTCCTAAAAAAAAAGTGAGACAACTGTTTTGGGACTATAAATAGATTAAACTATTCTCAGCTATTTTTGTTTATCATGATGTGTTTGTGATTAACGTGTAGCTTATTACTGATTTGGTTTTTTTGAGTGAATTTTTGTTTGTCCTTAAGTACTGATGCTTCATTTTTAACTGAGACCCAAATAAACTGGTATTTATGTGTTGTCCCATTCCCCCTCCCTTCCAAAGTACTGAGAAATAAGAAGTTCAGCACTAACAAAAGCAAAAATATAGCATTACTTTAAATATGCGTACAAAAAAGTGTCTGTGTGAAGCCAATACTGACGATTCCAAGTTCTGAATTTAAAAGAATAAGTGACTTGTTTACATCCATGCTGAAGCGTATGTAGAAGGCATAATGTTGTTAGCATTAGTTTTTTGCAGTTCCTGTGTTTGTACATATCAACTCATTTGGCTTCGTAACAAGATTTAATCGAGATAAAAGAGCTATATTAGTAGTGAGAAAAGAAATCTCCCTTGAGTTGGACTCTTTGATCAACACAGCTTTGAAATAGCTGAACAGTTTATTTACCAGAAGAAACATTGTTTCCCCGGCAATAACTTAAGTGTTTCAAACTACAAGTAACCAACTAGCAGACCTAGTTGTAATGCAGTTGTTTAACTTGTTCACTACTTTCTACAAATTCCTAGTGTGAATGGGAAGAATTTGTTTCAAGTGCCCCTGAAAGTGGGATAAGATCCTGGATGGGTGATGGAACAAGTTCAGGGTCAACTGTGTGTTAACTGTTCCTGACATACTTAAGTTTGCTAAACTTAAGGAAGTTCCCACCCATTAGAGAGCAAAATCGCACCCCTTCCTGAGAGTGAGATTCCAGTACAAGCCAGAGTGCAGAGGTAGCCAGAAAAAAAAATGTCTTGTTTGCCAGTAGAGCTTGTTTTAATTTGGGAAGCCAGTATAACCTACCCGGAAAGACTTTTTTCCCCTGTATATGCCATGTCTTACCCTAGGTGGTTTCTTGTAATACAGCTGTGCTGTGTTTGATTAGGGATGTGAAAGATGATTCTTGAAGATATAGGTGTGCTGACAGAAGCCTTTTAGTGCAGATATGTCATTGCAACTATAGCTTGTTGGAGCTAGTCGTACTGAATGAAGCTTTTCCACATAGGTGCATATCACTTATGTGTGGGCACTTTTAAATACTGTTATCCTAGTGTACTGTACTGTAGACTTGGGATAACTATGCCAGCAATTCCTTTCTGGTATAAACAAGGCCTGCTGGTTGGGTCTTTAGTTATTCAGGTCATTAAGTACACTAGGGCTCACATTGCTGTGGACTTTCAGTGGCTTTTTGAAGTCCAGTGATTTCTTGGAGGCTTTGCCTCTTAGTTCTTTGATTTGCAGACAACCTCAGGTGCATGGGTGTAGCCTCTTTAGCTGAAGACCTTCATACTTGAACGCACAAAACTAACTTGGTGAGCTAGATGGTGCAGGATACATTTTAAGAAATCATTTCTTGCTCCTCTTTATATTGGGTAATTTCATTCATAATCAAGCTTTTATTAAGTAACAAGTTAAAAAAGCATAAATAACACTGGAAATTGTATGTTCCACAAGAGTGGTTCTTTTCAAGAACTCTAAAATCTTTTCCAATATAAATAGTGGCCGTAAATGTGCTTAGGTTTTTAATTCCCAACCATATAATAAATGTTGCATGCCTAGAATCTGTACCTGGGTTTTCACTTGATTCAGTAATTACTAACTTCAGTGGAAGGGAATGTTCTTAACAGTAATTCTGATGTGGGTTTTATTCCAACTTTGTTATCTTGTTCTGCCTTAATGTCCTATTAATATATTTTTTTATAAATCTTTCTGATTTTATTGAGAAATACTCAGTACCTCTGAAAATCAACTATTATGTAAAAATCTTGATCCATATTTGACTTTTGATTTAATGATATTCATTGCATGCAAATGGATTTTTTTTTCCCAGAGATTCCTCTGAGAAATCAATACCAGATAGGTAGTAGCTCTCTGTTGCACTAGACAATTGCAGTTTTTCATCTGTCTTGACCACAGTCAATTTCCAGATGTGGGTGCATGTTTTACTTGCATGTCACTAATTGCTTTTGCAAACGTAGTTATTTCAGAGGCCCATTATTTTCAGCTCTTATATACAGCCAGTATATCTTATATACTGCAGCTTGAGGTGCTCAGATATACTGGTTTTTTTTTTTTGGAAGATCTCTTAGGCTTTAAGCAGTTAGTTAATTTTTTAGTTGAAGATAGAGTATATCATTTATAAAAGCAATTTAAGCTTTTCTAGCCCTATAGACTTAATTGGTAGCTTGAGAAGAGTACTTACCTAGTTAATTAGCTATTTAAACTTTTTTCCAGGTAAGACCAAAAGAAAGAAAAAATGGCAATTGTCTTTTTCACAAACTTTTTTTTGAAAGTCATATTGTCATTAGTTTTGTAAATATGAGGTGGTATGAGTGCATATTATTCCAGATTTTCTGTATCTTACGTAATGCACCCATTCAAAGTTACAGATATAAGGATTGGAAGCTCCTGTGCATTAGGATGTAAACCAAAAACTGACTGCCTGCCACTTTTTATAAAGAATCTTTCCTTTACATAATGGGGCATTTTACACTTTCCTGTCTGTTCAGCACTGGCCCCTCTTGAGTACAGGTTTCCAAGTTTAGGCTACGAAATTGGTTTTGATCCAAATTTGGAAGTTCTGCTGCTCCTGTGAGAATAAATGTGGATGTTTGGTAACCTACACAAATAAAATATGAATGTATTATGTGTGTATTTGTGTGAAATTGTATCCACTAGGTTGTGAAATAATCTTTGATTGTTGTGGTACACTGGAAATGTGTATAAACACGTTCAGTATGAATATTTGAGAGACCTCTATGTTGAGCTGAACAAACAGAGTCTTGGTTTATTTTCCAGAAATACATGCATCTTGAGTTAAAGGTCTGCATGCAATGGAGAGAAATAATTCATGTCATTGAGTACTCCACTGTTAAGGTTCTTGCTGTGATTTTATTTATTTATTTTCTGTATGAGGGCCCTGAAAAAAACTGCTTCCTTATGTCCACACAACCACAGATGTAAATGAATATTTCCTCTGCTGCCGCAAAATTCACTTCTGGTAGTGAGCTCGATTTAAAATCCTGGTCAAAACCATTTTTAACAGTTCTTGCAGTATTACTTCCATTCAGAAACTGAAATAGAAGATTCAGCATGTTTTTGGTAATTTCGTTGTGTAAGACTTCCTGAGGAAGTTAAGAAATTTGTGGGAAAGCAAAAGCACAAACATTAAACAGTATAACTATTTCTCTGCATTAGAAGGACAAGTTTTGATTCGGCTTAATCATGAGTGAACCAGTCTGAAGTGACTGACTGGCTGATTACTTTCTGATCTCCATAGGGGCCAAGGTCTCTCTAATCCTGTCTTCTCAGGTTTTGGTTCTTAGTGCCCTTTTAGATTTTCTTTGAATTTTTTTTTTTTTTTTTTTTTTTT